TTCAATGTATCATATGGTATCCAGTATATGCAGTGAATTAAAAAAATGCACCTTTTGTTCTAGCAATTAGTGTATCACTGTTGTTCGTCTGAATATTCACCGTTAAAATATTTCCCCACACAAAACATGACTCTTCACTTTGTCTTGGACAATGTCTTTTTCAGCCCTTTGAATATTTTACAGAACCAAATCCAATTCATAACAGAAAGCACTGAAGGAACAAGAAGCACCAAAATTTGTCCAGTTGTGTGCATCTGCTTCACCTGTAATGCATGTGTAAAACTCGAAAAGTTATCGAACTTCTAAAGAGTTTTACAAATACAGATTGTAAATTATGCATTTTTTTTTTATAGAATGTATGCCTCGTACAGGAATTTGTGATACACGAATAGGTAAAAGTTCGATTAATTTCCTGTATTTACCTGATCATAGTACCGGTACATATGACAGAACAAGTAGATGAATAAAAGAATTCTCACAACCTACAAAAATGGCAAGCCAAAAAAAGCATCCTCAGATATTGAAGAAAACAATGATTGGCATAATAAGAAGCAAACCATAACAAAATGCCAAANTTAGCATATTTTAACCTTAACTTACCAGCCATGCCAAGAATACTAACATTCCATTAACAAGGTACACCCTCGACCCCTTCATCCCAGCTGCATCGAGATACCTTTTCAAAAGATAAAAAATGGTATAAAAATCGAGACTTGTGCCTAAAAAATCATGAATGAGTAACGAAAAAACACGCATAAATGATTTTTTAGTTTTTACCATCTCAAATTGATCCAAGGGGTGGTTGCCTCGGATATTAAAACAATGAAAGTGTAAAACTGAGCTTCGCTTGTCAGCATAGCATAACTCACAGCCACCAACGAGATAAAATGATGAATTACCTATGAATTAAAACAATATCTTAACAAGTGATACAATCCTTGTGAACTAAGGAAAAAATGAAATTTCAGAAATTTTTTTGAAGTATATTTTTTTTTTTTCCCCTTACATACTCCATCCCGCCTAAAGAAGGATAAAACCATATTATCGTGCTGAGATCGGAAAGGAAATAACCAATCGATACCTATCAAAGACAGATAAAAGTAAGAACATACTTTTTACTTCAAGCAGACATGTTTGAAGAGATAAGAATAAAAGAATCTCACTCACTGAAAGGTTAAAAGGGAAAAAAAAAGTGTAAAAAGAGAAGAAAAAATAAAACATACCCCCAAAGCACATGTGGAGATAGTTGAACTCTGAAGAGTAATCGGGCCATTGTTCAACTTACCAGTGAAAAGATCAGACCAGAAAACAAAGTAAAACGAGACAAACGTAATGTAGACAGCATGAAATGTAGACATTGCTCTGCATATAAAAAGTGAGAACGGTTT